TTGTTGAATTGGGATCCAAACAACATCCACACAAGGGATTTGGGTGTCTTGTCAGAGAAGTTTCTTTTAATTTAGAGCAGTCCCTCACTTGCCCCACTATGCTATTGATTTATTGCAAGAACCAGCTCAGCTGTACTTCAGAATGCTGCATATTCTGTAAGTTTTCGCCCTTGAGTAGTGTCATTTACCTTGTCCCCTCATCCTCCACATTTCCCATAGTTAGAAGTTTGTGCTCTAGATTTGATTCGATTCTAATTCTGTGTTTTTTTTTTTGCCAAAACCCTTCATGGTGCTTTGTGCTTCATACTACATCACGATGAAAGGCGACAATGTCTGGTTGCCCCACTTTCAGTAATGCTGATTTATCAGTGATTTCGGGGTCTGACAGCTTAAGCCCTCCTTTCATCTAATGGTTTCATATGCTGATAATCAGCCTACACTAGTTATTTTATTTGGGATTTATAAAATGGCTATTTCCGAATTCTATCACTCATGAAGAGACACAGATCTCCTCCTGTACTCCGTGTAGCTGGGAAATGTCCTTCTCTGACTCTGGCAGAAAACGCGAGGTTTGCGTCCTGGAGAGAGTAAAACCGGGTGCAGCTGGCCTGGAGAGCACCAGTCACAACTGAGGGCACACATGGGTAACAAACTGAAAATGGTGTTGGAGTGAATGCACATAGAATGCTGAGACTCTCCGCTTTCCCCAACCACAGGACTCCAGGGGACTGGGAGAGAAAATGATACAAACAACTTACTATTTAACCATCTGCTAATACAGACGCCTATTATGAGGAAAATAATTCAACAGATTTTTATAATTTGAAATTCGAACCTTAATAGAAGCATTATTATAGAAACTGTAAAAAGCATGGGAGTGTACAGTGAAGAATATATCCCCTCTTCCCCGTGCCCTGGCCACCGTGCCCCGTCCTCCCAGAGGCAGACACTCTTGCCAGTTTCTCACGCATCTTTCCAGACATGTGGGCCTGTGGGATGAAACAAGGTTCCTCTGCAGCAGGCCATGGGGGACACAGGGCTTCCTCAGCATGTGGTCAAGACACACACACTACAGAAACATACCTGGGCCAACCGCATCGCAGTTAGAAAGAAGTACGATGGCCCAGCCCGGCGTGGCTCAGCGGCTGAGCGTCCACCTGGGATCCAGGCGAACGGGGTTCGATTCCCGGTCAGGGCACATGCCCAGTCGGGGGCGTGCAGGAGGCAGCTGATCAGTGACTCTCTCATCATTGATGTTTCTCTCTCTCTCTCTCTCCTTTCCTCTCTTTGAAATCAATAAAGATATATTAAAAAAAAAAAAGAAGTACGATGGCAGCAGGATCTTAGCAATTTGTGGGAACAACTTCAGCAAAGCTAAAAATGCCAAGAATGTTCATCATAAGATGTACGATTATTTCTCGGTAAAAAAAGTATATACATTAATTCAGTAAATATTTATTAATGGATATTATGTATCACTATAAATTTCCAGTAAATCTGTCAGATGTAAATAACCACACAATTTTATAAGTGATTATTACCACTTGTACCTTATGGAAACACGATCGCGTACATGTTTAGTTCATTTTCAATTATGTTTCACCATTCAAAATAAGCATTCAAATTTTATTTTAAAATAGAATTTATTGCATACCATAGTGAATTCAATACATTAAAAAAATGTTTTTCTTGTCAGTATTGGCACATAACGAAGAGTTTTAAAGCACTGCTAATTTAACACTTCAAAAAGTCTTTAAATTTTAAACCATGTTCCATAAAAAAATAAAGCCTAATAGTGTTATTAAGTATTAATTTACACTAGCTTACATATCAAAGTGTTAAAAAAAAATCCCACTCAAACCAATATCTAAGAAGTAAAAATTCAATCAGATGTATTTTTCAAAAGGTGCTCATTTAAACAAAATACAACAGAAGGTATAAAACAGGCAAAAATCACCAAGTTACATTGACTTGTTCTATTGGGAAATCCTGCAACCAACCAGATAAATTTTGGATATATTTTTTAAAAAGTCCATATGCTAAAGGAATGTCATTTATAACACTTTTTAATGTCTAATTAAAGAAAAGCATGATGACATTAAGTATTCTATTTTTTCTTTTAGTTGCCTCTTAATTGCCACTAATATAAGACTATTCTAAAATTTTAGTTTAAGAAATCATTTTGTCCCCATTACCATCTTCACAGGTACAAAGGCTGTCCTGAAGCACAGAAACATTAAACAAGGAAGCTCACATATATGGCCTTTATTATAATATGGTCTGTATATTACTCTGTCAATCATTTTGTTTACTCCGAAAATTCAGTAATCCAAACATGAGTACTACACAATTTCTTTCAAATATCAAAAGGTTGATTAATTTGATTCCGATCTCTTGAATTTACAGAATATCTTTCTCTCGGGTGCCATAAAGTGATTTATATTCAGTATTTTGATTTTATCTACATTACTCACTCCAATCTGTTTAGAATTATCCTCTGGGGTAAATCGATTACTGAAAATAAGTTTTTTAAACTGTAGAATTTGTTATTTGGCATCATCTTGAATAAATTCAACTCTTTTCCTTGTTAACAGAAAAATATAAAGCTTTTCAAACTAGTACGTTGCACCAGTCTGAAATGCAATTCCTATGTTTTTGAAATATCATTGGTTGAGATCCGGCTAAAATTTTAGAGAACAATCTTAAATAAAATTAGTTCAAATATTTTTTTAGTCAAATGTAAAAATAATGTTTACTTATACCTAAGGAAAAAATTGAATGAGCAAAAGAAAACTAGAAAGCTCATTTGTATTTACTATAAATGTATCATTTCACCAAAATCTCTATGGACATTTAACTAAAATCTATGAATGCCAACAGCAGATGGGTTAAAATTTTCTTCTTTCTAAAGAGAAATAAATCGTGGATTCTACTAATAAGGTTTTGCTAATCTAAAAAAAAAATACAAGCTGGAAGATAATATAATGTACTGGAATAGCAGTCTTTCCTCACAAACTTCATAATTATCTTTGCTGAAGTAAACTGAAGGAAAAAAATCATCTATATTACAATTTGAGATATTTAGTGATTTCTGTTTGATAAGCTACAAATATGTTCATAGAGAATTTCTAAGCAGCAATATTTTTTCAATAAGTAATAATACACTGTATCTTATTGTTTTTAAGACGTACTTAGGAAAAAAACAACTTCTCTTCTCCTTATAGTTATTGGTGGTGGGAAGGCATCTAAGATAGGAAGAAATGATACAGCCCTTTAGAGACAAAGTTTCATCTCCCCTACCCTTTGTTTACTTTGAGTCCCCAAATAAAACATTTCTGTACTTTATTATAATTTCTCTATAAATATTTTCAGCTGGGTTGGTACAATAACTGTTCAAGTACAATGTAAAGTTGACACTGAGGATAGAGAAACTTAGGGAATTTCACTCTTTCTTTCTTATTTCTATTTAACCAATAAGATTTTAATAGCAAACTAGAAAAAGATTTTACCTCCTTGGTAGCTGATGGTTGGATAAAGTAGAATGTGTATCAAAGAGCTAAAATTTCAGCTTTCTAGATTTAAATTTTCTTTAACATTCTTCATAAAATGTGGCTGAGGTTCAGGCTTTTGAATACCAAAAAGCTGAGAGGAGAATGCAGATAATTTTACTACAAAAGCTATATTTTGGCAAACATTTTATTGATACTCAAAATGAAAATATAGTTGGAGCTTTAAAATGGCACTTCATCTGTTCTCTCTGAGTCTGCCAAATAAATTAGATTCTTTGGAAAAAATTCAAGCTTGATATTATGGAGACAAAAAGAGGATTAACCTTTACTTGTCAGAAACTTACTTGTCATTTACCAAAGGATCCATAAGTGTATCAAGTGGACAGAGGGCTGTCAAGGGAGCTTCTCCATCTATAATTTACTCAGCAAAAGTTAGCAATTAAACAAAAGCATCTAGTTCCCTCAAATGCTAAATTTAGTTCAAATACCAAAGTTCTGATCCATTTTAAGGCATTAGAGCTTTATATTTTAATCAGCTGAACTGGCCTTAGAATGAAAGAGGATAGAGTGGTTCACATATCTTGTATATTACTTACAGAGAATGCAAAATTCTGCTGCCTCTGGAATTAGTTGTCATTCGAAAATTTCTTAGAGAAAATTAAAGAAAATGAAAAGATAATCTGACCTCTAACTCCCAGGAGAATGAATGTTCAGGGTACATTTGAGATTTAGCAAAGAAAGATAAAGACTTTTTTTTTCAAGTTGTAAGGTACCAGAGTGATTAATTGGTCTAACCTAGCGATTTCTAACCCAGTGCTGCAATAATTTTTAAAACATGCAATACCTCACTATTTAGTCAGGGGAACTGACCTCTTTCCCCCTAGATTGTCAAATAAAAAAAATGACAACAGCCAACACAAAAGCTGTCTGGTGTGAATGAATCAAAATTATACCTATTTTTTTTTTGTCAGATCAGCAAAAAAAAATATTTTTTGGTGTGCCACAGAATTTTAGTAATTAGTTTATGTATTCTATGAGATGAAAGAGGTTGAAAATCACTGGTATAACCTACTCATTTTGCAGATGAGAAAACTGAGACACCAATGTCTTGCACTAAGGCAATTTACTCACATTCTTGTAATGTAATTCAATTGACACTAACACCCAGTCTCTTGTCTTTTGTCTCCAATTCTTTCCTCTGAAGCACACCTGGTATACCAGTACACCACCCTCCACCAAAATATTAAGGGTTAACAGTGGTTTCCTTTGGGGAAAGGAGTAGGAATCAAGACAGTGGTGGGGGGAGGGGCTGTTAGGGATGTTACACTCCAATGATGAGCCATATGTATTAATATATAATTTTATACAAAATACTAAGCTTGAACATCAACAGAACCAAACTTTGCAGATCAGAAATACCATAGTGAAATTGAATGTTAATGTAGAAATTTAAGCTATACCTTCAAGGAAACAGCAGACCTTTTGTGGATGTCAGTTTTTGTATCCTTTTAATGACTAGTTCTATATATTATGTTTCTCTATAAGTGGAAAAATATTCTAATATAATACATAGCAATTCGAAGCAATTCAGGTTCTCAAGTTTTAAAAAGGACTGAAAATTTTTTAAACTTATGCTATAAAAATATGCACTTATATATTCCCAAATTACATTTTTTCTAACCTCTGCGGTGATAAAAGTCCAAAATTTTATTGTTGAACTGCCTTCTTGCATGATCTTAAACAATTATTTCTATAAAGCATAAATTTTGCATAATTCTTTTCAGTAAAATCTGTTCAGAAACTCACTTGGGCAGAAATACCTATCATTAGAGTTGAAAAGAAATAGATTTCAGTAAGAAAAATACAGGGGTGGATCAACACTTTTTTTTAGAAAAATATACTGTATATAATACATTTTGAAAGTTATACAGACCATATCCTTTTATTTAATGTGAAGGCACAACTTTAACATAGTTAAAAGCAAATATGTTTTAATTACTTACGACATAATTGTCAGTACCAGCTCTTAAAAATATATACTGCAAGCATATCATTGATTCTTTCAGATTGTCAATTCAAAAGTCTATTTGCAGAAAATCTGACACATTACGGCAGGTTCACATAGTATTATTGTTGGACAATCTGTTCACCAGCAGTCACAGGGTTTTCTTCATTTGTTGCATAGTCTGGCTGGTCCATCATCTAGGCATAAACAAAAATGTGAGAAAATGCAAATTTTCAACTTGCCCTCCATATTCACTAATTTGGCAAAAGGATTCCCAATTATTTGTTGTTGTCGTCGTTAATCCTCACCTGAGGATATTTTTTCCACTGCTTTTCAGAGTGGAAGGAAGGGAGAGAGGGGGGAGAGACAGAGATCGATGTGGGAGAGACACATCAACCTGTTGCCTCCCACATGTGCCCCGACTGGGGAAAGGGAGTGAACCCTCAACCCAGGTATGTGCCCTTGACTGGGAATTGAATCCACGACCCTTCGGTGTGTGGGCCGATGCTCTAACCACTGAGACATACTGGTCAGGGCCCCAATTTTTTTTTTTTAAAGAAAGTTTTCTCCCTTTTTTTTAATTGATTTTTTTTTTTAGAGAGAGGAAGGGAGAGATGTAGGTATGTAGGTAGGTAGGTAGATAAACATTGTTTGGTTGCCTCCTGTAAGGGCCCTGACTAGGGTATGTGCCCGCAACCTGGGTATGTGCCCTGAACAGGAATCGAACCCACCACCTTCTGGTGTACGGAACAACACTCCAACCAACTGAGCCACACCAGCCAGAGCGATTCCCAATTTTTAAAAATGGCTCAGGGTGCTCTATAGAACTGAGTACTCCTTTTGGAGCAATGTACTGGTTCAACATCCATGCTCCTAAGGACATGGTCAAACTGACACTGAACCTTTCAAAAGCCTAATCAATGGACTCAGGGCCAATTTGATAAATGCTTTCTCGGGATTTTCCACTATTTCCATTTCTCTGTATGAATACCGCCCTTCATGGCAATGGGAACTCCACCACAAAAGGAAGATATGCCTGATGCTATTCCAGGACATGTCCACTCCCAGATGTGGCAAAACTAAAAGTGGTCCCACAACTGACTGTGAGGCCACCAGCTAGTTTGGGGACAATGTAACCTGGATGACGCCTTGAATTGACCTTGAGATAATTTAAAAATGTGAGCCATTGCTGGTGGGGCTTCGTTGGCTGGGCATCATCCCATGCACCAAAAGGTTGCTGGTTCGATAACCAGTCAGAGCACGCCCAGGTTGTGGGCTCGGTCCCCAGTGGGGGGCATACAGGAGGCAGACAATTGATGTTCTGCTCTCGCATCAATGTTTCTCCCTCTCTCCCTATCCCTTCCTCTCTCTCTCCAAAAACAAAAAAATCAATAAAAATATTTCAAAAAACGAAAATGATATGTGAAATTTTGGAAACATTCTATGACAAAAATTTCTACTAAATACAAATAACTGAAGGTACTTAAAGGTAAAGTGATATCTGAAAACAAAATCAAGAATATATCTGCTATAGGCTAATTATAGAGGAATTACAGGTTAAACTTCTCAAATGATCACTTTAGCTCTGCCTATAGTCCCATGAAAATCTATGTTTGGGAATGAAGGGAGAAGAAAGTGCTTAAATGTTTTTAGTGTTTTTACTGTGTTCTTCAGATAAAATTACTTTTAAAAAAATTACTTAATGTCTTTGTGAATATTGTCAAAGATTTTTAGATGATTAAATTTCAGTATTGATACACTTTTTGCCTTCTCTTTATCAAGAATTAGAAGAAAGGACCAGCAGATAAATGTTCCAATTTTTGTAAACTGATTCTAAAAGTTTTAGTGTTTTCTAGGAGAGGAGGCAGAAAGAGGAGTGACTTCCAAATGGGGTCTCAGGATTAGCCAGACAAGAAATACATGGGAACTGAGGCTTTCAGCTGACAACTATTTCAAGCAATGGAGACAACTTATACCACCCAAACCTGCTGACACTCTATGAGCCATCTCAAGTCCCCAAACAATCAGTTTTGAGGTTCTCCATTTGCCAAACATATCCCCTAGAATAGATGAAGGTAGTTACACGTTTGCAGCACCTGGGGGGAGGGGCAAATCAAGACAGGTAGCATGTTTATTAAGCATTTCACTATATGAAACATAAGATGAAGTCCTTGAAGAGTTGATTTTAGTTACAATTTAAATGAAGGAGGGAAAGAAGCATGTAAGATACATTTAGCCTCCCTTTCTTCTAAAGATTTCGGAGCTCTGGGTGTAAGAGGCTGGAGCTGTGGGGGAAAAAGAACAGAAGTAACCCCAGCAGAATGGATGGTGGGGAAACCCTCTTTCTTCCCCAAGACCTGTTTACCCTGGCAACTGTAACCCAATAAATAACAGCCTACATACCCTAAGTTATAAAATGCTGCTTCTTTCCTAATTGGCACTTTAATCCCTAAATATAGAAATATATTAGTTTTAAAAAAACACTTTCAAAAATGAACTTATTCAGAAGTAAACATCTCTACTCTGTACTTACTTTACTGACTTTTCAATAAAAACAATATAGAAACGTATCACTTACTGATAGCTCTGCCTATTTATAATTGAACCAGTCTCCAGAAACAGTCTAATAAAACACTCCCTAAAGTGGAGTAGCTGGAGAGTTGTTGATACTAAAGCGGGGTTGCTCTAAGTATCTCTATTCTCACTCATCAGTCACAGCTTGTGACTTCTAAAAATAATTAGAAGCACTAGTGACATTTAACAGAGACAAACCCATTGTTTACAGAATATCAACAAACTGAAAACTGACTTTCCACTCAGGGTAAAATTGCCCATTGGAGGTGGCTGCATAAATCTAACTCCACTGATTTAGGATTAGAAATAAACAAACAAAAAATCCCCTAAAATGACAATTTCTCTTAATTGTTTTATGTGCCAGAGTAATAATGCCACTGCTGATTTTTCTCTCTAGAGAAACACATCTTTATTTTCATTAATTAGAACTAAGAGGTTGAGTAAAATTAAATAAATGAAACATTTATTTACAGTATTCTAGAAGGAAAGTTCATAGAAAATATAGTGATAAATAACTTTGAGCTATAAAGAATATATGATTAAGATTTCCAAATTAGACTATTTTAGTGATATACTATAGAAAAATTACTTCTTTGGATCAGAGAAATTCATGGAAAGGGCTGAAAGACTTCAAGTAAAATACTAAAGTATTTCTATGAAGTCCCTTAAGTTTCAGCAACAAACAAGATATAATGTGCCCTTTGAAAACAACATACAAAGGCTGTCAGGGCTACCCATGACATTTGGAAGTCTCCAGTTGAAAGTTCTACTTTTGACCACTTGTACTGCACTCTAGTATCAGGCATTAGGATGAAACAAATGATGAACGACATAAACAAACATGCCATCATCTTTCATTCTGACTTTATTTTATATGTTTTATATTTGGTTATTTCAAAACAATAGCAAAAAATTTTAGCACTTGCAAAAAAATGATTACATATATAAATTGCAGACATGTAAACTCCAGTTTAATGTTTTAAAAGTGCCTCACTATTACAAAACCTTATAACAATTTTGGTGATTTTACGAGGGCTGCTAAAACACAATCGGGGAGCTTGTACACACACACAGAAATGACTAAAGGTCAGTGGATTAGAGACTGAACATTATAGCTGTTTTGCATGAAGAATTTCAGTAACACTAAGAATGTATAGTGTGAAAAAACACTGCTGTCAATACTGTGGGCTCCTACACCTAGGAGCTAATAACTTAATGAGTAGTTAAATAGATACATAAATATCTAAACTACAAGGCAGATAGATGTTAATAAGTATTTAAAGTACAAAGTCTGAAATAATATGGGGAAAGGTGAACTTAATTTCAATCGGAGAACTCTTATTAGATATCCTGCTTGGAGAAGGCAGACTTTGAGTTGAACGTTCTGTAAGGGATATTCTGGAAACAGAGACTGGCAATGTTATAAAGATAATGAAAGTTAGGGGGAGAGGAAAGAAAGGAATATCATTACGCTGTTAGCCTAAGACATGAGCCAGTAACTGCCTGAGGGCGGTCTTCAGGGCGGCCCTCAGGCCTGTTCCACACAGGGCTGTACCTAGTCTCCTCCCAGTTTCACCAGGCTTGTTGAGGTTCCCTGTTCTACTTTCCTGGCGTCTGCCTAATCTTATCTGATTTCAACACCCAGCTGCCTCACCAAATCTTGGGCTAACTCACCACCATGGATTACACATTCTCCTACCTGCCTGTAGGTCCAACTTCATTTTATGGACAAGGAGACACAGTTTTAAGAGACTGAGTAATTTGCCAGAACTGATGCCAAAGCCTATAATATACTGTCTATATATAGCCTATACTATACCACAAATGACAACATTCAAGCTAAATTAATTTTAATGTTAAAGGTTAACATCTCTCAAAAGCTATGAGAGATTTTCTTTTTTCAAAAACCTTAACCAGGGAATAATTTTGTGAGGGTATTACATTCTATAAGTTTAAAAAAATGCTAATTTTCTAGAAAAATACACTCTTCGCAGTTTATATTCTGCAACTAGCTAGATTAAAATTTCAGCAAATATCCATTCTTTGTATTTAAAAATTTAGTGCAAAGTAGGAAAATGGCAACATTTAACAGATTTTTTTTCTCTGAGGCTGTGATGGCTATCAAGCCCTTTTACAAATATGTTAAAGGAACCAGATTTAACAAAGACCCAAAGTTTTAATACTCAAAGCAGGAAAATGTAAATCTAGTAAATGAACTGAAAAATAACAGCCAAATCAACAAATAAACCAAAATAAATAAACAAAAAAACCCACACCAATTCTTACAAAAAATAATAGCAAATACATTTATCATGCTTATGCTGTGCCAGGCACCATTCTAAACATTTTGCATATATTACAATAATCCTCTTCAATAGGATGATTATTATCCCATTTTACATTGGAGGAAACTGAGACATTAAGTAGCTAACTTGTCTAAGGTCACATGGCTAATAAACAAAATCAGAGTTACAAAGTAGTCAGTCTGGCAGTAGACTCCACACTTTTTATTACCATGTGTTATTTTATATTCTGAATGTCTTTATCAAATAAAATTATACACTATAAAAATGAGAAGTGTATAACCAAAGTTGTCCTATCTTTTCAGACACCTTTTCAATGGATTTTCCTACAATTAACTGTCTTATTTAGCTACTACGTTGTGTTGTCAAAACCCTGGAGTCTGCCCTTACGGGCTGTTTCCTACTGCTTTGTGTCCAGCTGCGATCTTTCCCTTTATTGGTAGCTGCTGTGAAGCAGAATCGGAACTTTTAAGAATGAAACTCACATGGAAGAGGGCAGAGCATTTGTTCAAAGGGAATATAAATGTATCCCTTAGTTGAATTCCTTCCTTACCTACCATCCCCTTTCTCCTCAATAAACATCATAGAGAGAGAAAGGAGGGAAGGTGCTAAAATAAACCTGAGAAAAAATAACCTGTAGAATATTTCCAAAGAGACGCAATGTTATTACATCTACATATACAACGTCTCTAAACATTCAACTACTTATAGTATGAGTTGGCATAAAAAGATCTGAAGCTCCACATAAACTGTTCAAAGTAACTGCCCCTTGAGGGTGGGTGTGGGGATAGAAGAGTTAGAAAAACGCCTTCTGTGTTTACTTTAGACACCATTGTATTGCTTGTTTAAAAAATGCAAACATCGCCCTGGCCGGTGTGCTCAGTTGGTTGAGCGTCGTCCTGTGTACCAAGAGGTCGCCGGTTCGATTCCTGGTCAGGGCACATGCCCAGGTTGCCGGTTCAGTCCCTGGTCGGGATGCGCGCATACAGCAGGCAACCCATCGATGTTTGATGTTTCTCTCTCTCTCTCTCCCCCTCTCCCTTCCTCTCTCTAAAATCAATAAAAAAGAACAAAAACATTTAAAAATAAATAAAGTGGAATTAAAAAATGCAAACATGCATTACTTCGTAATTAAAACACAAAATGAAAAATAATCAAAGAAAAAGCAGGGTTAGGGTCCATGTAAAAGTGTTAGTTGATTAACTGCCAAAAACATTAACCTATAAGTCATTCTAATAGAACAAAGATGACCAGAAGTACTCTAATGAACATCTTTTCACATCAATTTTGCCCAGATTTTTATTTTCTGGACAATCTACTGAAGAGAAGTGACTGGGCCAAAAGAAATGGTAAAATAATGTCTGGTACATGCACATGAAAGAATACTACATAGCCATTAAAATGATTTTTACAAGGAATTTAAAATGAAATAATTAACATGCAGTAGAGAAACAAGACAGAGAACTAGACTGTGGTATCATCCACTCACCTATCCACTTATCCAGGAAGGCATAAAAGGGAACTCACATCTTAAGAGTGGCTATCTCTAAGTAGTAGGGTTATTGGTGGACTTAATTTTCTTGTCTTTTCCTACATTTTCAAAATTTTCTGTAATAAGCATGTATTTTTATAATAAAATACTTCAAAGTATGTATAGAATGGGATAAAAGCAGGCTTACAGTTGTTAACATGGAAAGTAATACAATAATTAATAAGTACTAATACAAGAATGAACTGTGTTTTACATACTAACAACTGTGAACCTATTTTTGCTCCACCTGTATTAAAGGGAAAGAAATTTTTTAAAAAATATATTTTTATTGATTTCAGAGAGAGAGAAAGGGAGAGACAGAGACAGATAGAAAAATCAATGATGAGAGAGTCGTTGATCAGCTGCCTCCTGCATGCCCCCCACTGGGGATGGAGCCCACAATCTGGGCATGTGCCCTGACTGGGACTCAAAACTCGATCTCCTGGATCATAGGTCAATGCTCAACTGATAAGCCACGCCTGGTCGGGTGGGAAAGGAAATTTTTATAAATAAAAATGAAATGCTGGTGATGAAAATAAAAAGAAATATATTTAATTCTGTAAGATATCACACGTACTCTCACTAACAGCGCCAAATTTAAATTCTAACCTAAGATTTAAGGCTAACCCTAAACAAAATTCCCCATGTCGCTCATCTTCCTTGTCCTTATGTCATAATCAGTTAATCAGACAGGTGCCCTAATAGTAGAAACCACTTGCCCACAATTTTTCCTGAGTCTTTTCTTCCCCCTGTATGTTCTCACTCACTCACCGAGTATGCTGATGACACTCCCAAATTTCTGTCTCTAGCTTGGTCTGTCTCCTGCACATCAGGGGACATTTATTCAACTGCCTAGTATTTCCCTCTGCCTGGTGGTCCTATAGGTACTTCGAAATGTTTAAAATGGAATCCATATTCAACATTGAACTTGTCTAACACTGAATTTATTATCTTCCTCCGCAAACTTGCTGCCCTGCTTTCTCTCAGTGAACGGGATCACCATCCGCCCACTCAGTAACCCAAGCCAGAAACCTTGGACTCCACTTCCTTCTCCTCCCCTCCACGGAATCTATTACCACATCTCATTAATTATGTCTCTTAATTTCTCTCGACTTTGTTCACCTCTCTCAATCGCACTACCTTCCGAATTCTGGCCACCACTGCTCGTCACTGCAATAGCTGCGTCAAGTTCTGCTCCCTCCTTCGATCCATTTTGTAAATTTCTTAAAACCCTCAGATGGTCCCCAAAGTTCTTAGCATAGAATCCAAACTCTCTGCCATGGCTTACAAGACCCTACAGCTCCTTACCCTGTTTCCTTCTCCAGTTTCCATTTCCTACAGCGGCCCCACACTTACTCAACATCACTGTCATCCTAAACCTCACTTGGTTCCTAGAATGTGCCATGCTCTCTTCGCTCTAGCTTCTGAAGACATGGTTCCCTCAACGTGGAACACATGGCTCAGTTCAAGTCTCAACATCAATTTAACAGTCTTTAAAAAGCCTTCCCCCAATCACCTTTGACTCTGTCATGAAACCATAAGCACTGGGTGTCCCCTGCTAGCTTTCACGGCACCTACCATCGCTAGTACATTTATCACACTGTATTCTTAGTGACTCCATCGGCAACCCCCACTATACTTTAACTTCCAAAAGGCCATGAGACTAGGCCTGTTTCTAACTTGTTCATATTTTATCACCAGCTCCTAAAATACTTCCTGGGGCATAGCACTGTTCAATGAATATTTGCTAAGTTAAAAAATATAAAATTATTTTTTAAAATGACGAAGAGCCACTTTTTGGGATGTGGCTTTCAAAGGCTAGTATAGTAGTAGAGTATGTGTTGTAGGACATACTTTATTTTTTTTAATCTGGAAAAATCAAAATAAAAACTCCAGCCCTAGCCAGTTTGGCTCAGTGGTTAGAGTGTCAGCCCATGGGCTAAAGGGTTCCAGGTTCGATTCCAGCTGAGGGCACATAACTCAGTTGCAAGCTTGATCCCTGGCTCCAATGCCGGAGGCAACCAATCAATGTGTCCCTCTCACATTGCTATTTCTCTCCCCCCCATCCCTTCCACTCTCTCTGAAAAGCAATGAAAAAATATCCTCAGTTGAGGATTTAAAAAATAAGTAAATAAAAAAAAAACCTCTATGTGGGTATCCTCTTAATGGAAAAGTTGCAAGCTATCTTACCAGTTTAGTCATGGACCTTGTGATATATAAACTAATTCTATGTGTACAAATACATGTTGAGACAATGGCATTGTGATGTAGGCAAGGCAGGTGCTGTTATTTTATCCAAATCTCATAGAAATTACAAGATTTACCCAAAAGAATTCCAGACCAGTGCTTTTCCCAATTATAGTAGTCTAACTTTGTGTTAATCACCTCTTGTTAAATAAAGATGATACCACAAACCAACCACAAGATGGATATGAACTTTGAACTGTTTATCTACTAACAGACTTGTGTCATCCACCCAAAGTATCTCTGTTTTGTTCATGTGACCACTGACACTCATGCATGAGGGCAGATGGAGGAGGGCAGTTTGTTGTAACAGGGCAAAGCAGAGCTAACTGCCTCATGAAGGGTCAATGCCATGACCCTGGCCTCAATGGCCAGGGTTTCCCAACCCTCTTTAATTTCAAAGCAAACAGACTTTACTGGAATACCAAGAACATTCAGAAAAAGAAGAAAGGAATTTAACTTCAATGATGAAACAACTCAAACATTATTAGAATCTGGTAGTAAGATTTTTTGCGTTCTGAAATTTTACAGAAAGTTGACCTTGATCCACTTAAATTTGAAAAGAGTGCCTTATTTAGTTTATTTAGACCCATTTAGATGCAGAAGAGGGTATACTTTTTTTTTTTAAATCCTCACCTGAGGATAAGTTTTTTTATGATCTTAGAGACAGGAAGAGAGAGAAAGAGAGAGGGGAAGAGAGATAAACACTGATGTGAGAGAAACATCAACTGGTTGCCTTCCGTATGTGCCCCAGCTGGAGATCAAACCCACAACCTTTCAGTATATGGGACGACGCTCCAACTGAGCCACACCGGCCAGGGTAAGGATATACTTTTTATCTGCAAACCTTAGGACCCTCACTATAAATAGCTAATGTCAGTCTCAAAATTCAGTAAACATAGTTTTATATTCCATGAAGTCCACTTCTGTGTGGATTTTGAAAACTCATGTTGAAATGTGTTTTGCTTTTCCCTGATGCCCGCACACTCCTTCCTGACAGTTTGATCCTGAGTCACCAGGATTTTGGCATCACATTGCAGCGGTGATGAGAACTGATGATGCAGCAGGTGGACAGGAAGGGGGCAGTAGTGGAAAAAACTTAAAGGACTTCCTGAGAGATCCAAGATAAATTTTTGGCACTTAAAAGCTTTGATATATATAGGTAGTTCCAGCCAAAGTTAGTCAGTGAATTATTTCATGAGATAACTTGGTAGCTGAAATAGAAGCACATACCTGATAGCTGCTACCTTTCCAGAACTTTTTCATTTCTTTACGTCTCCAAGCCACAATTGAGGCAGTAATAAGTGTGCAAGGTACTAAATACAGGAGAGCAGGTTGCCCCTTTTTCATCAGCACCAGAACAACAAACGTAAGTATCATGCCAACAGCATAGGCTGCAAAAAGAATACCAAATATCAGTCATTTCTGAATGCTTCCAAAGGTAGATTTTTAACTCCCTCGTTGAAGTACTGGTTTTCAAATATTGGGGACGATTTTACCTTATGACTTCGTTTCATAATTTCGTATTTTCCTAGACAGTAATTAGGAAAGACATTCTACAAAGCTTTTGAAAAATTTGGAAACTCATTAGCATTTCATATAATTACCCTAATCATCAACCATAGACAAAGATAATAACTCAAGAAAGTCTCATGTATCTGTCACCATTAAGGATTTTGAGTTGTCCCACATTTTAGATTAACTAAAATTTGGACCTGTAGGTACTAATGGTTGCTTTGAAAAAAATCTTCCTAATATTTCTACTTCCTGGACTTGTTCAACAAGAGAATACCAAATATTTCACTTTCTTAATGACTCAGGGTCTCATTATGAACACAGGATCTGAGACTACTGGAACTGAAAGGGCCTTTACAGACAACTGAGTCTACCTGCTCATTTTACAGATGAAGCAATGGAGGACCAGGGAAGGTAAGTGAGCTGTCCAAAGTGACACAGCAGACCTGACAGACAGTCCTTATTATTCGCCTTTTCGATGAGTATTCTTTTATAGTACCTCACTAACTGGCGCTAGACTCTTAATATGTTAATAACCTTAGAGAGTACATACTTAATAGCCTCAGATTGCTCTTCTTTTTTCTTTGTTTCATCTCTTCATTCACTTAGCTATTCTTTTTAGTTGTCAGGGTACCTATTTCTAGCAAGGCCCTTCTTTATTGCTGACCTGTAGTTTTAATTTACTAGATTTAATTCAACTGTGGAATTGAAAACTAGAACAGTACCTAAACAGCTCTGGTATAGGCCATTTACCTAAAAGAACTCTGGTGTATAAACCTTGAGATATCTATCTGACATGTTCAGAAGCAGTATTTTTTGGCTTCCTTCCTGTTCTTGTCTATTCTCAATAATAGAAACAGAGGGATAAGTAACAACTACCTCCGCTGCCCTAGGTGAGATGTTATTGTGCCATGAATTCATTTATATAAACACATAGTTTTTTAAAAATCTAGTCTTACATAATTTATTGACTACTTGTGTGCCAGGTGCTCTAATAAGCATTTTATATGTAGAACCTAATGTTTTTCTTTCACATACAATTTCCTTGTTAAAACTCAAGAACCTTGTGATGTAGGTAGTGAAGTCTAATTATTCCTTTTTGATGGAAAAAAACATTATCTTATTAGCTACTGATAAAGAATTAGAATTCAGAGTTCCTTATTTTTAGACCTCTACCTTTTCCTACGAATAATACAATTCAATATAACAAAAAACAAAAAATTTACCAATTGTGGAGGAGACATAGTATATAGAAGAAGAAGAACCAGTCTGCTCATCAAATCTTCTACAGTACGCAATCAACAGGCCTTAAAAAAAAACACTCCACGTTATTTTCTTAAAACCACAACAGCAACTATGGCAACAGCACACATTCTACTGTACTGTACTGTATTGTATTTATTATTTATTTTAAATCCTGACTTGTGGGTATTTTTCCTATTGCTTTTCAGAAACAGTGGAAAGGAAAGACAGAGAGAGAGAGAGAGAGAGAGAGAGAGAGAGAGAGAGAGAGAGAGAAACATCAAAGTGAGAGAGACGCATTAACTGGTTGCCTTCTGCAGACGTCCTCACCTGGACTGGAGTGGACTGGAGTGGACTGGAGCTGTGTGAGGGGAATCTAGGGTAGTGGGCTCTGGAGACAGAGCTCAGAGGGCACCCCTCTGGATTCCTGTGCCGAGCCATTCCCCCTTACTGCAGAGGACATCTTTCATAGGCAGATATTTACCTTCCAAGCAGCTTTTGCCTGAGGGGAAACAATTGCCCCACCTTGCTGGAAAACCCCTCACCCTACCCTAAGGAGTTTCTACAGCCTGAGGCTCATTAAGAGACTGATAACAACCAGATGCCACACCCTGAGGAGTTCCTACAGCCTGAGGCTCATTAAGAGAAGGAGATTAATCAGTCTGCATGGCAGAGGCAGACCTCACAGTGCTTTGAGTCGTTGCCTGATCTGCTTCTGGACCCAGGCCTTGGAAAAGCAGACTTTGGTATGCATCTTGGTCCAGTTCAACAGCACCCAGCCCTAGGAGAGGGGGCCTCAAGCTGTGGGTGGATAGCTCCAAACAGAGTACTCAAGGCCAGTCACAAACAGCGTCTGACATTGGCCTGCACCAGAGACCTTCCAAAAAGATTGAGAGTCCTAGCAGGCCTACCTAATACACAGAAACAAACCCAAACAGGCAGCGAAAATGGGGAGACAAAAAAACAAGCCCCAATGAAAGAACAAGAGAAGTCTCCAGAAAAAGAGCTAAATGAAATGGAGATAAGCAATCTATCAGATATAGAGTTCAGAATACTGATTGTAAGGATGCTCAACAGCATGTAAAGAGATATGGCAAATACAAAAAATGACCAGTCAGAAATGAAGAGTGACATAGCAGAAATAAAGGAAACACTGGGGGGAATAAACAGCAGATTAGAGGAAGCTGAGGATCAGATCAGCAAATCAGAAGACAGAGTAGGAAAAAAATCACTCAACCAGAGATCCAAAAAGAAAAAACAATTTAAAAACAGGAGAACAGACTAAGGGAGCTGTAGGATAACATGAAATGTAGCAATATTCACATCATAGGAGTGCCAGAAGAGGTCAAAAGTAAATGTCTGAAGAAATAATGGCAGAAAACTTCCCTAACCTGGTCAAGGAAAAAGTCACACAAGTTGAGGAGGCACAGAGAGTCCCAAGCAAGAAGAATACAAAGAGGCCCACGCCCAGACACATCATAATTAAAATGCCAAGAATTCAAGACAAAGAGAGAATATTAAAGGCAGCAAGAAGAAAGCAATCTGTTACCTACAAAGGAGCTCCCATAAGGTTGTCAGCTGACTTCTCATCAGAAACTCTATAGGCCAGAAAGGAATGGAATGGAGTACTCAGGGTAATGTAAAACAAGGATCTGAAATCAAGACCACTCTATCCAGCAAGGCTATCATTCAAAATAGATGAAAAAAGGCTAAAGGAGTTTATCACCACCAAACCAGCATTGCAGGAAATGTTAAAGGGACTGCTGTAATAATAAGAAGAAATAGAGAGAGAAACATAGGCATAAAGAATTAATATGGCAATAAATAAGGACCTATCAATAATAACTTTAGGGGCTTTAAGGGAGAGATCAACAGCAATATAGTCATAGTCATGGACTTTAACACCCACTGATTTCACTGGGTAGATCTTCCAGACAAAAAGTCAACACAGAAACAGTGACTAAATGGCACACTAGATGAGATGGATTTAATTGATATCTACAGAACGTTTCACCCCAAAGCTGCAGAACATACATTCCTCTCAAGTGCACATGCGTCATGCTCAAAGACAGAACACGTTAGGAAACAAAACAAGTGTCTACAAGTTCAAGAAGACTGAAATCATATCAAGCATCTCAGATTACAAGGGCATGAAATTAGAAATCAACTACAGTAAAAACACTCAAAAACATTCAAACACATGGAGGCTAAATAGCACGTTATTAAACAATGAATGGGTTACCAATAAGATCAAAAAAGAAATTAAAAACTTCCTGGAAACAAATGAAAATGAACACATAACCACCCAAAATCTATGGGACTCAGAGAAAGCAACCCTGAGAAGGAAGTTCATAGTATTACAGATGTACCTCAAAAAGCAAGAAAAAATTTTAGTAAACTCTCTCACCCTATAACCTAAAGAATTAGTAAGCTCCCCTGTGAAGCTGTCTGGACCAGGGCTTTTGTTTGCTGGGAGTTTTTTTTATTGCTGCTTCGATTTCATTGGTTGTTATTAGCTTATTCAGGTTTTCTGATTCTTCCTGATTCAGTTTTCCATGATCTCACTCATATGTGGAATCTAATAAACAAAATAGACTGAGGAACAAAATAAATCCAGAGACATAGAAGCATGGAAGAGACTGATGAATCTCAGTGGGAAGGCAGGGGTGGGGGAGTGTGTGAGGAGAGATAAATCAAAGAACTTACATGCATATATGTATAACCCATGGACACAGACAATAGTGTGGTGAAGACCCGGCGGGGAGGGCAGATGCGAGGTGGAGGGGATCAATGGGAGGAAAAAAGGGGGATATCTGTAATACTTTCAACAATAAAGATAAATTAAAAAAAAAAAAAGAAGAGCATCGAGGATGGCAATTTCAAATTGTGATAAGTTTCCCTTCCTAGCCCTGGCCGGTGTGGCTCAGTGGTTAGAGCATAGGCCCAAGTACCGAAGGGTCTCAGGTTCAATCCCTGCTCCAGTTGGGGAATGTTCAGGAGGCTAACAACTGATGCGTCTCTCTCTTCCTTCCTTCCTCCCTCTCTCCGTCTAAAAAGCAATGGAAAAAAATATCCTCAGGTGAGGATTAACCCCTCCCCAAAAAAGTCTCCTTTCCTAAGAGAATAAAATGATTTGGAGCTTTAATACAAAGAGTTCATATAAAAATTAAATATAAGCTCTCATTTGTAAACATGCAAATTTGCAAAAATAAACCACTGTATTACCTATTTATTTTGTTAATCCTCACCTGAGGATATTTTTTCCATTGACTTTTAGAGAGAGTGGAAGGGAGAGGAAAGGAGAGAGGAAGGCCGGGGAGAGAGACAGAGAGGATGGACAGAGAAAGAGATAACAAACATTGATGTGAGAGAGGCACACCGATTGACTGTTTTCTGCATGTGCTTTGACTGGGCTGGGGATTGAACCTGCAACCCAGGTACACGCCCTTGACAGGGATCTGTACCTGAGACCCTTTGGGGTGTGGACCAACACTCTAACCATTGAACTACCTATTTATCTATTTATTTATTTATTTTAATCCTCACCCGAGGATATTTTTCCCATTGCTTTTCAGAGAGAGTGGAAGGGAAAGACAGAGAGAGAGAGGAACATCGAAGTGAGAGAGACGCATTAATTGGTTGCCTCCTGCAGGCACCCTAACCAGGCCCGGGGATCAAGCCTGCAACTGAGGTACGTGCACTTGGCTGGAATCGAACCCAAGAAGACCCTTCAGTCCAAGAGCTGACACTCTAACCACTGAGCCAAACTGGCTAGGGCACTACCTATTTATTTTTAAGAAATTTGTTGACCCTCTCCAAAGAAGTTGTTTCAGGTTGTATTGACTAATTAAACATTGTTATGAAACAGTAAGAATGACATCTGACTATCTAAGCATCACAAAATAATTTTACTATTTTAATTGGTTCTTTTGAATTAATTAATTTACTATTTTCATTGGTAGTTTTGGTCCTTACATAATTAATCAAATAAGTTCCTTGATAGTTCCTTCTTACTTTTATTACATTAAATGTTTAATCACATTTCCACATGTTTAAAAAATGTACTCCATCTCCCCAAATCAGAATTTAGGTTTTAGAATTAAGTCATGTATTGTCAAAAACTTTGCTCGCTCTTTGGAGAAATACTTGTTTGACACCTTTGATACTTCAAGAATGTTATATTTATGTTTCTGCCCCCAAATTCAATGCTTAGTGCTATATTAAGATTATAGCACTTGTTGTGCAGCTGGTAAAATCAGGGGTAAGTTTAAAGGTATTTAAGAAATCTTAAGGTTACTCAATAGAATGCTCCCCCTACTTTATCAGTTATGTAAATGAAGACTCACTGAACTAAGATCATTGCTATATTAGACTTTCCACAGGCAACACTGTTAAATTTTCTCTCTACCTGGCTTTACTATGCAAATGAAAGGTTTTTTCCCCAAAGAACCAGTACCTTACCCATCCACAGGCAGTTAGCACCCAAGGAGATGGTAAGAAAAGTAAGGAAGGACAAAGTGTCAGCTGATTGAGAAATATTAGTTACTTCTAAACTATATTATTAATAGGCTAAGATGAAGTTTATTCTACAGGTATCCCAGGGAGGAAAATAATGCAGAGCTGCAAAAACTGTCAGAGAAGACAGGCTAGGAGAGCTCATCAACATCACCACATGCTGTATTTGTTTGTATTACAGGGCCCTATAGAGCAGTGTTTACTGTTTCCCCTCTAAATCACTCTTCCTAAAACATAACTATTATTTTAAAATAGAAGTAACAGGAACTGTAATGCACTTGCTATTATTAAATTCAACTTTTAAAAAGGGTTTGATATATATTAGATATAGTTCCTTAGGGAAAAAGGTGAAACTGATCCTAGTTGCTTCCTCTAGGACACTTTTTGAGCCATGGAAGATATAATTTTGGCTGTTGCCAATTGGGCTTTGTCTTCTACCACTCAAAACACTTTTTTCTTTCTTTGTCACTGACCCCAGCTCTAGCAATAGCCAAAAAATACTTACTACAGAGTAGGTCACTTTGAACAGATACCATACATTTGACAAATTTAAACAATCAGTACATTTTTACTGAAATTGTTACAAATAATTGCTTACCTGGTACAATAATGTCTCCAAAGCCCAATATGGAAACTGGCATGAGGCACACACTCATTACTGAGAAATAGGCCAGTTTTGGTACTTTGATGACTACTGGTAACTGTAATTATAAAAAAAATAAAAAAATAAAGTCACCAAGAAACCACTTAGGAATCTTTACCCTATCTTTTAGAAAGGGAAGGATTAATATTAGGATAACTGTTGTAACATTTTAAAATTGACATTTAGAAGAACTTGAAATCAGAGAACATAAACTAGACACATATATGCTCTGAATGTATAGGAAGCTTGAAAGAAATAGATACATAGTTTTGGAAAAACAAAACACACATAGGGTTAACAGTATTAATTCCGGTATCCCCACATATAACCTTTATTCCCTTTTTAGCAAAACTAGGACTCAGGCCTTGAAACAGATTTTTTCTTCTTTTTTTTGGCAATCTGGATTTTTTTTTTTTTCCCCAAAGAAGAGTCTTGTCTCAGAGGGTATAATTTAAAGTCCAATGAACATATCTGAAACACAATCCTTACTTTCTCATGGGGAGCTGAGGGCTGAGCAGTGGCTTCCACCAAGTTTCCATCATTCTAGGATGAAACCCAAGTCAATAGGTATTTAATAATTTAGAATAACTAAGAAAAGGGCTATATTTTGTGAGAAATAAAGTTTTACAATACCTTAACATGCACTACATGACCAATTAATCACACAGGAAGGCAAATTATTAACTGGACACACATACACACACTGGCAGCCATTTCTGTTTAATTGCCATCGCTACCTTTTCATTATTGCCAAAAGGTCCAGCTGCAAGTTCAACCATGATACTCTCGCCGTTCTAAAATTGAGAAGGAAGATGAAAGAAATTGTCCCATCATTTAAAGAGAACAATCTGCCAGTATTCAAGAATTATTTGGCCCCGTAGCTCATGGCCTACTACAAACTGATTTTAGAAATGTGCCATAGACTTCTTTTTTCCTAAAACAGACTCTGTAGACAGAAAAAACTGGAGTCATCTAAAACAAAATCCACCTAGCACACTGCTCCACTTTCTAATGGACTATAAATTTGTGTGCTTTTAGTTATAGTATGTCATATACTATGTGTCCTCAGTGATTTAGCAATAACAATAATAGGGATACAAGAAATACTAATTTTTTACACATATTTAGATTTGTAATAAATATTGGTAACTTTATTTGAATAAATATACATTTGACCTCTGGCTACTCACCACAATAACAAAACAATGAAGCCAAACTTGAATAGATCCAGCCCTAAAGAACTTGAGAAGCTTCTTTAACCTAACTCCAGTCCAATGTCAGCCTTGCCTACTTTTACATCCCAATCAAAACATTAACCTTAGCTGAATTTCCTCCCTTGTGTCTGGCTCAGGCCTTTTTATGTGGGCTGTGTGAGGAGTTCACTAAAAAGTTCTTTTCCTAACAGCCAAATGTGTTGTGGAGAGGGGAAATGTTTTGAGATAGCAAGCTTCATGTTATCACAGATGTATCACCAAAATGGGTAGGGGGAAGATAAGTAAATGCCGAATTTCAGGAAAATTGGATTTACTAACTATACTATTTTGCATGTGGGTGGGATGCATAGAAGTCACTGGAGTGTTTTTAAGAGGACTTCACTGATACCACTGCTAAGCAGAATGAAGGACCAAATCCCTACCCACAGAAATCTTTTCCTCATGTGAAGCTTCAGGTTTCCAAAGGGTTAAGTTATAAGAATTTAGAAAAATAAGCTAATATTGAATACAGTTCCTTACAGCCAACTCCCATCATGTGATTCCATTTTCAGATAAAGAGTTTGGTTTGTTTTCTTTTATTTAAAACATTTAACTGAAGACCATCATTGACATTCTCATATATTCAAACAAATCTGAGTAACTACTATTTGCAAAATACTATACTGAAAACCACAGCGGATGAAATAAAAAGGAAGCCGGGCTCCTATCACCTGTACTCATAGCCACTGGCCCTGCCAACTCATCAAAATTTACTAATACCAGGGTGAAGAACATGTTTAGAATGTCCAATATTTAATCCCTGAAATTTTCAGTGAGAACCACAAAAATCGGAAATTACATATCTGATTTTCATTTTGAGTTACCTACTAACAGTCTATAGCCTCAATAAAAACAAACCACACTGAGAAGATGGTGTTAAAGTAAATCTGTAACAGTGAACACAGCAAAGAGCACTTAGATCTTTTCCACCTGGTCAGACTGCTAGAAGTCACATTCCTAGTTGGTGGGAGCTAAGATGGAAAAAAGGAGATGAACAACTCCCTAAGCACGGTAGGAAGGAAGGGGGCTCAAAGACATCTTTATTACTACCCTATACCTTGAAAATTCTAAAACTTTTTACATGCAGGGATAGGAAATAGTTTGCTGGCAGACACGTTTGATATTTAAAAAGTGATACCAGTGTTAAAACAGAATGGAAAAATTATTTTAAAACAAGAATTTAGTTATAGTTTATAGCTATAGCTATTGTAAAATACGTTTCATCTGCTATGACAATCAACATGTTGACCTATGACAATGGCCTTACTTTCATTATGAGATCTCTGATGGAGTTACTTACAGAAACATTTTATTGAACCAAATACACTGATAGAAACTAGGACAACTTTAGATAGAATTTTTAAAAATGCTTTAATAAGTTAACAACTTTTATAATAATCTGTAATACTAGTTCTATGCTTTTGTAGGGTATTATTACAAATGAAGTCAGTGAGTCAAATGGCTCATCATGAAGGCACAGAAAGGTGCTAGTAAAGCAATTTGGGTAGCTGTGACTTGGGGCAGTTTTAGCTCCCCAATGGGGCACATGCTTGTCTTATGCCATTACGGCAAGTACGGGAAGTGCAGAGTTTTAAGTGATATCACAGGTGGCAGGGGTTAAAGAACGGATAAAGAATTAATGGGGAAAAAAGTAGTGATTATAGTATCAAATATTAAATATGTGAGAGTGACAAAGGATAAAGAGATGACAGAAAGTTAAAAACCAATATCAAAATAAAATGGGGAAAGTAGGAGAATGAAGCAATAATTGATATATTCGTGAGACAGAAATAGGGACAAAGTAGAAAAATTGGGCAAATAATGAAAGACTACCACCCAACCCCTGTCCCCTATTCTGAGAACAGCACCTTCATTTTATTGAGGACCTAGTGGCAGAGCTGCAAACAGATGACCTAGGACCTGTCAGCTGCTATGGTTCTAACTTCATAGAAAAAGCCAGTCTGAGACAATGAACAAGTTGACAGAAGTGGAAAGGGAGCAGATGTGGCCCTGGGAATAGTTTCCCCTGCAGCCAGCCCCATCCTGGTCTCTACACACATCCTGGGTAGATGGGACTTTTTGGGGTTCTGTTAGTTGCAACCAAAAGAATTTTACTGATGGAAGAGAGAGGATGAAATGGTAGTAATACTCCTTCACATGATGGACTAGGAAACTGAAACACAAAGAGCTAACTGGCTTGCCCAGGGTTACACGGCTACAGAGCTACACTTTGGTCTACAGATTCCAGTACGGTGCTCTTTCTTACTTTCAGGTGAAGGCCATAGAAATGGAGGTAGCAATGACATATTTTCATTATTTTTGCTATCTGTATTATCTACAGCAAACATTCACTGTTTCACAATAATAAGAAAAGTTACTTTTAAAAGGGTAGAAAGCAAATTGACAGACATTCTCATGTTCACATCAGTCAAGAGACATTTTTTATTTAGCAGAATGGCTTAAAGGCTTGAAAATATCCTCTATTAAAAGGCCAATTTCAATGACAATTTTCTTGAGAGAATTAGAACTCACTTAGGAATAAACATCTGCAAAACCAATAATCTAAGAGCAGGTTTAAGATTCTCATCTTTTACCATGTTTCTCATGGATTTCAAAATATCATTACCTTCGTGATGAATGGTGTTATGAAAACAAAAAACACGTCATAGAGGAGGAGAAGGCCTAGAAGTATCACACATGACTGTTGAAAGAAACAAATTTAAAGGTCAAACTTCCCTTATCTAAATTAAGAGATTATTTTTCAAGTTACAAATAAACATGTGAACATACATTTGTACACTATTTTTTAAAGCATTAATCGTTAGTACAATTTGTAGTTTTATTCTACAAATCCCATTAAAAATTTTATGTTCTTTCTCCCATGCTTTGTTAAAAAAGAATCACTGAATCAAAGAAATGTTCTTCCATGATATTTAGTCCTGTAAGAATTTTATGAATTAGGCATATCATCTAAATGATTGACAATATTTTAGCTAGGACATCAGTGGTTATTTGGGGCTGGGGTTTAGTATTGATTGCAAAAGGGCAAGATATAGCTTTGGAAGACATGAGAAACGTTTAACTTTATTGAGATGGTGGTTACAAAGTTATATATTTGTAAAATTTCAATAAACTTCACACTTAAAATGGGTGCATTTAATGTATGTAAATTATACCTCAATAAAGTTGTTTTAAAAAGAAAATATTATCGCCCTGGCTGGGGAGCTGAGTTGGTTGGAGCGTTGTCCCAGACACCAAAAGACTGAGGGTTCAATTCCTGGTCAGGGCACATACCTAGGTTGTGGGTTTGACGCCCAGTGGTGGCGTGTACGGGAGGTAAGTGATCAACATTTCTCTCACATTGATATTTCTCTCTCCCTTCCTCTCTCTCTCAAATCAATAATTAAAAAAACAACATTAAAAGAAAAAGTTATTTTAGCTAGCAGAGTAGTATACCTTACCTTGAAGTTGGGTAACTTCAGTGTTTTAATTAAATTCAGACAGAAAGCAATCCCCAAGATATCCTGTAAAATCCAAGCCCACCTAAAATCAAAAGAAGTTACTCTATTGTTTTATCTATTTTCAGATGGAACTTTTCAAAAGAACAAATCACTACAGTAAAAACTGTTCAATTGCAATGACGTGATTATTCAATAATTAAGCAGCAATTGTAACAATAAAAAACCACCTCTCCTACTCTCCATATTTAGTAATTTACTGTCCTCGTAGAATAATGAGTTGAAAGGCTACCTCAGAAGAACATGTATCACACATAAATGCATATTTATCTTTAATCTTTGAATTTATACATGTCTCTTTCTAGAGGAAGATAACTTATAACAAAGGATATTGCTGTTAATATACACCCAGATAGCTAGAACTTAAAGGAACAAGCTATACAACATACTCTATCAGAAACTGACATGCATAATTACCAATTGATTTATCAGACCTGAAGCTGCCTAAAAGTGTATGAACTTTGCTCCCAAATTTTAGGTCATTAAATCCTTTGGACTTTAATAATTTTATTAATAAACCATTAAACAAACAAATATATATTTTTTTCTGGTTATTCATCCTGCAAATGGACGAATAGCTATATATTTTCTTATATCTCCTTCTTTATTAACTGAGAGGTAGCCTACTCTAGCATACTTACATTCTTTTGCACTTTGCTTTTTTCACTTAAAAATATATTAAAAATGTAGATATATTCTGGAAAAAAATATGTGTGTGTGTGTGTGTGTGTATACACGCACATGTGTGTATATATATATATTCTGGAAATCACTGCAAATCAATTCAGAGATCTTCATTCTTTATAGCCACATTGTACTCCATTGTGCGGCTATACCATATTAAGGACATTTTAACGTACTTAATTAAGTACTTAATTATGGCTATACCATAATTAAGCATATACATAATTAAGTCTATTTTAGCTTAGATGTTTAAATCATGATTCATATTTCCTTCTCTACATGACCTCCTATCCATTAACACAAGATCTGCTTATTTAACAAGTAACTTTTTCAAGCTATAGTGTTCTGGGATAAAAGCAAAAAACTTCCATAAGAATCACGATGAATAATTACCAGGGCAAGACATAAAATAATCCATCCATAATCTAAATCAAATAAATGAAGTATTTATACCTATCTTCATTTCTAAACACAGCCCAAACAGCAGCTATTGCTATGCACAGTCCAGAGAGAAAAATAAGTCTCACTTCAATGCTTTTGTCTAAATCAAATAAATGAAGTATTTATACCTATCTTCATTTCTAAACACAGCCCAAACAGCAGCTATTGCTATGCACAGTCCAGAGAGAAAAATAAGTCTCACTTCAATGCTTTTGTCTAAATCAAATAAATGAAGTATTTATACCTATCTTCATTTCTAAACACAGCCCAAACAGCAGCTATTGCTATGCACAGTCCAGAGAGAAAAATAAGTCTCACTTCAATGCTTTTGTCTAAATCAAATAAATGAAGTATTTATACCTATCTTCATTTCTAAACACAGCCCAAACAGCAGCTATTGCTATGCACAGTCCAGAGAGAAAAATAAGTCTCACTTCAATGCTTTTGCCACGACAAGCAATCCTAAAAAAAACCCAAAACAGATGTAAACAGATTAGTTTATCCTGCAGATGAAATAAAATGTTCACTTAATGTGAGAAATGACAAGTGTTAACCACAGTCATAAGAAAGCTACTGAAATACCAATGTAAAAGTCTTGATTTTAAGTAAAACATAATAAAATAAAATAATAAAATGTTTATCAGGTCAACAGAACCTTCTGTGATGATGGAAATGTTCGATACTGTGTTGTTCAATACAGTAGCCACTAGCTCCATGTGGCTATTTAGCACTTGAAATGCAGCTAATGAAACGAAGTAAATTTTTAATTTAACTTAATTTTAATTAATTTAAATTTAAATAGCCACATGTATATTGAACTGCACAGGTTTAAAATAAGATTCCTACTTTTTCTTGTATTGTTTTAAATTACAAAAACCAACATTACAGGATTTTTTGTAAGAGATACATACGTGCATTGTCCATATGGTATCTTATGAATTAGTGCGGCAAGACAGTTGTATAGACTCATTGCTGATGCTATGCAGAAAATTGCTATCATAACATAAACTAGAAAGAAAACACAAGAAACTAAATTATATGAGAACAGAAAAAAATGTAACAAGAAAATATTTACACAGCAATACTAATTCTTTAGCTTTCTCACTGGATAGTGATACTTTCAATGCACTGACCATATTATAATTTGAACTGGTTACTAAATTGAAAATATTTAGATCTTGAGTTTTAAGAGTATTTTGTGTTGTTTTAGTTCCATTATACATTGGTAGGATCGCTCAAGGGACTGAAGCTGGCTCTACATTTATTATCATTTAATGATTTAACGTATATTCAAGATTTCTATGAAGTGAGTTGCAGACATTTATGAATATTTAATTTTAATATAAGAATGGAAGAATAAACCATTATAAACACTTTTAAAATGCAGCTTAGGGATGAGAGCTGACACCTTAGACATTAGCCATGCCATCTATATTTTCCTAAGGTAGAATTTATCTATAACTTGACCAGAGGTAAAACCAAATCCCTTCAGACGAACCTCTGTTATCACATAATACTATCATAAAACAGTTAAAATTGACAGGCGTTTTTCTATAATAACTATACGTAATTGAGAATTTTTTAAAATTAAAGACATTTTATCTCTGTTGTTAAAAGGGGGGGATTATTGTATTCTAAAATAAAATAAAAATAATTTGTTTTCTGAACTTTATCAAAATTTCACAATGGAAATACAAATTTTACCTGAATATTTCAAATTCCACTAAGCTGCAGAAAACTGTACCTGTGCTGCAGGTGAGATAGAGAAAGTAACCCAGAGACAGTGAATTGGGGATACCCACTCTCTAACTGGTGATCTTGGATAAGTTACTTTTTTAGTCCTCTGAGTCTCATCTTTAAAAAGTGCAATGTAATAATACCTGTCAGGGTTATTGTGAGGTTTCAGATAAGTTAATATATATAAAATGCTTAGGACAGTATCTGGTACATATAAGCTTTATATAACTACTTGTTGTTATTTTAATTATTGGTTATATATGGTAATAGGACTAGTAAGATAGAGAGTCAAAGACTGCCATGTTAAGTTTGGTAAGTCATCCACCACAGGTCTCCCACCCAAGTTTTACAACACTGGTGGAAATCAGGCTCTTGGGGCCCTAACAGATTTTAGGTGTCTCATTCAGTGTCACACTACAGTCAAGAAAATGATTAGGCATGGAAAAGAATTTGGTTATAACTGTGTTTAGTTATGTCCTCAAGCACGACAATCATAAAATGGTAAGGGGAATCCTAGCAATTTAGTATAGTCCCATTATTTAATATATTAAGAAAAGGCAGCATATTTAGCCATAAGAAGTCATTTGGAGGTGAATTAAATCTTACAATATCATATAAGATATTCTTAGAGTTATAATTGAATCTCATGTCCTGGGATAACCTTGATGTTTAATGATTTTTCTCCTATATCAAAAATTACATTTATAAACAGGGTCAACTTTTAAAATATCATTCAGTGTAAGGAAATATCTCACCAAAACTTAAAACATGCTTTAGGACAGAGTACAGGACCCTCTCTTTTTCTATTAAAGACCACTAATATATTGACTGAGGTTCAGATACAAATAACTGAACGCTATTAAAATAGAAAAAGTAGCCACTCCATGACAATGCAATACAAAGAATACCCTAGAACACACTCTCCAACAACAGATTGAAATATGAGTAATAGTCAAAGAATGATTACTTTCTAATTGGAAATATATGTCATAGGTCTTTTTTTTCCCCCCTGACTGGGAATTGAACCGGCAACCTATCGGGCATGGGATGATGCCCAACCAAATGAGCCACAGTGGCCAGGGCATAGGTCATAATTTTTGAATTGCTGCCACAGGACACAAGAAACTGAATAAGCTGAAACTAACCTTAGGCCTCAGTTTTCTAGTCTAGAAAATTATTCTAATGTTCTCCAAATAAGCTTTATAGCCTTTGGTGGTTTTTACAAAGGGTTTTTGCTAGTTCTCATAAGGCACACTTCCCTTGTCCCTGGTCTCACCACCTCGTTTTTGTGCTGTACACTGGCCAGGAATGGCAAATTTCCATCCTATCAGACAATTAAGAAGACTGTCCAGGAGGTGACAAGCCATTATGCTCCTAGCCCTGCCTACTTAAAGGAAAAAGTATCAGTTACTCTCTAGATCACAGGCAAGTACCTGTGTGTCGTTAGAGGTAGTATGATCCTGTTTATACAAGTAAAACAAATTTCAAGTAATACATCCTGATTTGCAAACTGACGAAAGAATAAACTACACTTTGGGGGCAGGGATAAGCAAAGGCAATGAATCAGTAGTTTTAATAGCCTTCTATTTCATGTAACTAAATATAGCCACCAAGAAGTCCTTAGCCTGCTCTTTAGATATTAGGATTTCATGCTTTATCTTCAGGGAGGGAAATGTAGAGACCATAGCAATTTTTCAAGTCATCCATGAAGAGGTGTTCTTATCTGAATTTTTTTTTTATCCCAGAGTAGCAGGGACCTGATACTTCTAACCATTTAAAAAGATAGTATCACTTTTTAATTATTCACTTGAGTTTTCCAGGTAGAATGCCTTAAAGGAAAAGATAAATCTGGCCAAGTAAGTGAAAAGATTGCATGCCAAAAATAACAAATATAAAACATGACTTCTTACCCAACCATTTGTAGAAGAAATACAGTAAGACCATCATAACACAGCAGATGGCCACAAATATTACAACTGTTAGAGGACTGAAAGTTAAATATTCGTCCTTCTTTCTCCTAATTTCTCTGTCTTCAGTGTTTGCCATTGCCTTCATGCTTTCCCTGAGTAAACATACACAGGAACTTCAGCAAATCTCTTCCAAGTACAAGCATTTTTAAAATCTATCTTCAACGAAACTTAAACATGTTATTGACTATAAAGTAATACACTTAAAAAAAAACCCAAACACCAAAAAGAAATACTTAATCCACAAATGAAAAACTCTCAATTATTCTACCCTCCAGAGATACTGTTTTTAACCTTTAACTTTAGGAATAGCATTTTTTTTCTGGAGGCAAAATTACTGAAATAGATGACATATATTATATAAACAAATTAATGTTTGTGGATATTTATATTATCTGATTTGGAAACTATGATGACAGAATAAACCAATTCTTACACACTTAATATTATCAATTTACACACAGTAAAGTACTTCTAAGATTAGATTTTATTTTTTTTAAAATATAAGGGAAAGGGAGAGAGAGAGGTGAAACATCAGTGATGAGAGAGTCATTGATGGAACCCACAACCCGGGCATGCGCCACGCCCGGTCAGGCTAGATTATTTTTAAAATATATATATATATCTTTATTGATTTCAGAGAGAGGAAGGGAGAGGGAGAGAGACAGATAGAAAGAAACGTCAATGATAAGAGAGTCACTGATCAGCTGCCTCTTGCACATTCCCCTAAGCCCACAACCTGGCCACGTGCCCTGACTGGGAATTGAACCTCAATCTCCTGGATCACAGGTCGATGCTCAAACGCTGAGCCACGCTGAGCCACACTGGCCGGACTAAAATTTGCTTCTTTTAAATGGAAACACTAAATTCTTGTATCCATCAACTCAGTATTTACTATATGCTCATCAGTGGATTATGGACTCACAGGAAGTTCAAGACATAGCTTTGTGCTACCTTGATTTAAGACAGCAAAATATAGTTTCTAATTCTTCCAACAATCCTTGCTAGGTCACACAGTTAATAAAAGGGAAATACTGAAGTTGAAAAGGAAAGAGCCACAATTGTCCCTTGTTGAGCAGTCTCTGTTCTGTCACCTAGTGTCTCCTCCCAGTTATATGGAAGACACTGCACACTTTTCCAGCTCCAATCCCGTCAATTCTGGTCTGCTAAACTCTGTTCCCTGGGTGTACTCCCTGACCCTTCTCATCAGGTATCGGCTCAATACAAACTTTAGGTTAAGAAAAAGTTTACTTCTATCAAATTATACATTTGCCAAACTGCTTATTTAGCAACATGCCATTTTCTTATTAGAACCTTGCTGACTGGGATGGCCAGCACATTAAGCATCTGTGACATTAGGAAGGCTACCTGGGATAACAGAAGGGAGAGTCTGGGGAAAGACACACAAGCACCTCCTTGAAACTGCAGAGTTACATGGTTATTAACATAAGTTTCAATAAAAGCGATACCCAAGAAGGAAAACGTGCCAACCTATGGTATCTATCATTACAAAAAGACACATTTAAAGACATTTTTTTTATCAGAGTACACATGTAAGCCATAATAATGAAAGATTTATATATTTGTATTCAGTGTAATAGACAGCACAAGGCAATTTCTTGAAGGGGAAACATATACTAGGTTTATATCACATTAAAATACTACAACTCATCTTTATAAAAAAATCATACTCTTAAATTTCTCAAGAGCCACATGCAATGGGCAGAAGCTAAGCTTTCTTCCATGCCATCTTGAGTTTATGAAGCTTAAGGATCAGAGGTCTCGTTATAGTAAGACTTTAAATTTCTACTGAAAAGTCTTTATATGGAACCAAGGCATCTTTCCCTTTTGCATAAGGTGCACCCTGCATTTGGCAGGGGGATTCTGGGTTACAAGGTCCTGTTCTGGCAAAATTTCCCTTCCCTAAGCCTTATTCTCTTTCACTAAATGATAATTCTTAAGTTCTTTATAATTCTACTTTTCATGGAAATTTTTCCTTTTTATCACTGATTCATATTCTCTCTCTTTATATTGTTATCCCCACTCCCACCCCAAACACATATACACTTACTTCTATCTTTATCTTACTCTCAGACTCAGCCACCTGAATTTTAAAATCCATAATCTTATAGGTAAACATCTCCTTTCCCAACCTGGCTGTTGAAGACAACAAATTCTTTGTTTCTGCCTATCATGATGATTTATCAATAAAAAAGCTTATATGCACTCCTCTCCCATCTCCAGTTTTCTTGAGGAGGAGCCTGCCCTGACATGCATATGAAGCTTGCCTTGCTAACTCAAAGTGTGGTCCATGGCCAGCAAAATCACTTGGGAGCCTCACCCCAAACCTCTAAAATCTGAACGTATATTTTAATGAAATCTCAAAACAGTTTTTACACACATTACAATTTGAGAAGCACTACTCTAAAGAAACAATCTACATAGTAATGGAAGTACAGGGTAAATCTATATTAAATGGGAAAAGGTTTTTAATGAATTGGTAGCTTTTGGGAAATGATAGGTTTCAACAAATAGTCTAAAAATAATTAGAGACCTCCTTAAATACTATGCTTTATGAAGATTAATATTAATGAAGAAAAAACAATGCTTACATGAAAACGTGACCGATATATGTTAAAACCTGTTTTCCAAATATGTAAAATATTTAAAGTTTAGTACTCCAGGAATCCACACTTGCTAAACCTCTTGATGTAAATCAATCAAATTTTAGTATTTTAAGAAATTACAAATAAGCTTATTAGCTTCATTTAGTTGCAAATAAGCCCTTTAACCAAAATCTAGAGATCAATTCACAAGGTGAATATATGCCCTTTATGAATGAAATAATATGCTCTGAGCACCTTTTTTATTCAGAATTATGAATATGAACTGATCTTTCTCTACCATATCACCTGCTTTAATCTAGAGCCAAAGGTATATAACTGTAAGAAGACTGGGTTTAGGTTATTATTAAACAGGAATATCCAAATTTTATGTATATTTGAAATTTCTACTTGTAAATTAAAATGTGGACATGTTTAATATCCTCAGAATTCCTAAAGCATTGAACAGAATGATGAGGTCACACTGTAATGACTCAGCTCGGAAGGAGTTGAAAAACTTCCCACCGTTATTTTCCTCCAATTGAAATATATAGGCATGTTAGAATACTAGGTATCTCCATCTTTACTGGGAGAGATAATTGAACATCTTAATTTAAAAGTCTTTGATGGAATACCAGTGTTTCCCTGCCAGCAGAAGTGTTAGAGGTACCTATGACTCCTTCCTCAGTGAAAAGTTAAATGACCCGTATGAGGACAGACAGCAATCTGATCTTATCTGCATTATACTCTGAGGTCAGGAAAAATTTTAAATGTTGTTACATGATTTAAATGATTTCAAATAATAATTTTTGACTATTTATCACAAAAAGACACTGCAGTTTAATTAAACTTACAATTCAATTAGTCCACTCCAGTATCCTCCTAATGCCACAGTGAACACAGAAATTGCAAAAATAACCACCATAGTATAGTCAAAGTTAGGCCATGATGGAGAATACATTTGCACAGTAATGTTATCTCCAAGAGTCTGAAAGGCAAAAAATGAGAGTTAAAACACCAGAATTGGTTTTCTTTCCACTACAGCACATGGCAGCAATATTCCAGTTTCACTCTGGAATGGACTCAGCATCAGACAGTCAAGAATACAAGAACTAGTTTTAACAACGTGATATATCCTCTTGTCAAAATTAGGAGGCTATACTTTGGTTTATTAAATCTTGAAAGTGGAGTGTTCCACACAATCAGAAGTTTTTAAAGAAGTCAAAACAAGTAAATAACCTTTCTACAGTCAGGGCTCTGAAACACCCTGTGCTAAATGGGAGGTGAATACTTTCCAAGTAAAGACTTGGTTGGCCTTTACAACTTCGTGTCAGCTAGTGGAGCATGTATAATAATTTAAGTTAAATATCAGTGGTTAAAATTCAAGAGTTGTACTATTTATGAACTTTGTCTAATATGTAATTACTAATTTACCTGCTTCATGTCTTTAAAGTCTTTGTTGTATATAAATGCAATCAGTATTTTCACATCATGAAATTCAGATTTGTTCCCTGAGGGAGCAAACTAGAAGAAAAAATATATTATGAAAACGTATAAACTACTAATATATTTCCAGAATAAAATCAAAATTATTCCATTAAATATAATATTAGATCTTTATAAAGTTATAAAACAAAGTTTCATGTGTTCTTAATATCATAGCAAGAGCTCTCAAACTAATAGATACAGGCATATCATACACATGTAACACACACACACACATATATATATATACTTGTTCCTAACAAAGTCCTGTCTACTTTAGGAATAGAAAAGAAACCACAAAACTTTCCAATGAAATGCCTATCATAACCAGAATGTTTATTTAAAAAGAATCCTACCATCAGATTCAAAACTCAGCCCCTAAACCACACACAAAGAAGATAGTTCAATCTGTGAAATTTAGAGTCATGAGCTCAAAAGAAGTTACTATAGTTTTATAACTACTATAGTTTTATAACTTACTAGGACACTGTTATTGGCAACCAACAATGCTTCAGCACCTCCTGTTTGTGCAATTCTGGCTTTTTCAAGAAAACTGCAGGTTCCCCACTGTACCACGACTGCTTCATTCTTTATCCCGTCAGGAGGAATATCAGAAAGCTTGCACAGTGATGTGGAAGTCAAATTCCTCAAACTAATGGAAGTCTGAAAAGAAGAAATGTCTTTAACGTGATACCATATTTCACCCTAAGTGCATTTAGTGACAAGGTATTTACTGATTTAATAAAATTAAATTAAATACTTTTAAATTAAATTTAATTACTTTTAAATTTAAAATATTTTATGATGATCAGGCTTTGAGGTATTTTAAAATCCCCTAACTTGTTTTTCCCAAAGAGAAAAATACTTAAGCTAAAGCAATAAAATAATTATTATTTATTAATCACATATTACAACTAGTTCATACACTAAAACATAATAATCACTCACTTTCACCTTTCAATATTTTTGTTTACAAATAAACAGTAACTGTGATTTACTTACTGCGTTTTCTAGGGAACTTGGAAGAGCTGTCCAGTAAGGGTTATAGAGCATGCAGTAGTCCTTAGATGGTGAAGCCGTGCCACTTCCAGACGCGTGCAGGATCGCTTCCTGAGCAGCTGTCTAGGACATGAACAATAATTTTCACACTGGCGATAATCTGACTTGCCAACAACTGAGGATTTTAATAAAGCTATTTATATACAGGTCTGACCACATTTCCATAAGAAGAAAGGTCTTCCACTGAATTTACTTTTTCTTGTTTGAGGAAATATTGAAACTATACACATCTGCCTAGAACAGTCTTTGAGGAAGTCCCTCTCTTTCGGGGATCCGATTATGGCCCTTGTTATCTGCCATATCCTAGGGAGGATTCTTGCTAGGACGTGATCATTTCAGTACTCCTGTCACAGCCTGAAACTTTCCTTCTCAACCCTTAGGAGCTGTTACTTCATTGTTTACATTCTATAAGAGAAAATCCACTTGAAATCCCTTACCCGGTCGTACCTTCCATATTCTATGAGTAACTAAGAGTTAAAAAGTACAGTATTATTTCCAAGTGCTCTTTTTGGAAAAGAACCGGAGAACTCTCAAGTTTTGAAGATCCTGCAACTGCCTATTCAAAAAGACCAAACCAGAGTTTAAAGTGAGGACAAAGAAGAGCTAGAAAAATATTCTTTCCTTGAGCCTCATTTCCTACTATCTAGAAAAAAAGAGAGACAAGAGGTAAGAAGTGACTGAAAAAGTAACTATTACACATGAGGGTGGGAGTGGAGAGTAAGGAAGGCTGAAACACCCTAAGACCGTGAGAATACCGCTCCACACCACGAGTCCCTTCAGACTTGGACCAATCCCAATCCCAATCCCAATCCCACCGCCCTCCTCCTCTGAGCAAACCTTTCCCTAAACATACGGGAGAAAAGACTGCTTGGCAGGCGAACATGATGGACTAAGCCTCCACCACTAAAGCACGCATTAGGTGGAGCCATATCAAATTGCTGACGTTTGACCATTTTGATCCATCAAGTTGGTAGTTTCATATAAGACAATCTAAATTTTTAATGAGAACAAAATGCTCTAGTCCATGCTCTATCTAAAATCTCCCTTGAACATTTGGGAATGAAGGCTTTTTGGCATAGTAGGGGCTTCATTAGCTTAAGGGTCTAAGCAAGTGTAGGGAATTCTTTTAAAATGCCATTAAATTACATAGAATTAGATAAAGGTATTATCTGTGAAAAAGAAAATGTTTTCATTCAGCTGTATATTTGGTGGCCAAGAATGGATTCTGAGACCAGAGGTGAAATCAATATGTTAAATTCTTACTATACACCAAGTTATTTTTAAATTATAAACAAACTATACAAATGAAACAAAAGTATATTTAGGTCACATTCATGCATTTTTCTGATTCAATATCACTGTCTTACAAATGAGGGTTCTGAGATTCAGGGAAATTACTAATATGGCCTAAGTAAGGTCAGACAGTGGAATCATCCACAATTCTAACTACAAAGGCTACTCCTCTGGATAATTATGAGGGCTGATTAGGTTTAGATTAAACATTTTTGAAAAGAATGTCCCATAAGTGAATTAGGTACTTCTTATTGCACCCAATAAAATGGCACATGAGGTCAGGATGTCCCCCTACTAGTGATGGCTTGTTTGATTATTTGGTTACATAGTAACGGCAGGATTTCTCTCATGTAAAGTTATATATTTTTTCCCTTTGTATTTGGTAAGTAAAGTAATCTGTCGCACCGTATGAACAGTTCAACAATCTCTCACCTAGTGTTTTAGCTTTCATGAGGATCCATGACTGAATTTTATTTTACATATTACATTGGGGATTGCAAGACGGTAAATGTTTTTTAATACTGTCATTCCTTCTACATTCTTCTTTTATAAAGTTTTAGTCTCTCCCTCTACCGCCTTCTGTTTAGTATCACAGAGACACACTGATTATTAAAAATCCAATGCAGTATAACAACAATTATGCATTTGGTCTTCAAATTGTCCCAAATGTGGCCAGCAGAAACTCTTCCAGCTGGCTCTCACAGTTACATTCTTAGGGGTTTCCCTTATATCTTTCCAGATACTATCTATAAATATTTAGGGGATATATATAGAGAGATAAAATGTATATAATATTTGTTTTACACATATGAGATATATAAGACCATACTATATAGTGCTCTGTAGCTTTTCTAAAATTAAAGTTTTATAAATTAGATTTTCCATATTGATACAGAAACATCACCTCCTTTCACACAACTGTATAATATTCAGTGTTACTTCTATAATTACAAAAACTGAGAGATTAAAAAAATCTTAAATGTCCAAGGAAGAAAGATGTCCAAATATGAGTAAGATTTATTGCTATAAAGGTATTACAATATTTCCTGTAATAGCAGAAAATTCATCATTTGTAAAAATAAAACTCATTGATATGGGAATTACTAAGGCAAAACACAAATTTTAATGGAAGATGAATACAAATGAGGGAAGTATAACCATACACATCGCAGACTAGTTAGACTGAATGTGGAACATGCAGCGAATTTCATGAGTGAGCTAACAGAACTAAACAACGTAAGCATTCCCACTACATTTTTTAATATCTTAGTAAAATTTCCCATAGAGGGTGTACAGCTTCAAAATATGTCATGAATTTTGGAACGAAAGACCTGGGACAGAATGGCAGTTTCACCATTTACTGGCTATCTTACACGTCACATAGCCTGTCTTAAGCTTCGACATCCTTGGTTTTGAGATAATAAATGTCAACCTCACAGAGTTGTCATGAAGATCGAGTTAGATAAGCCCTGGCCAAGTGGCTCAGTTGGTTGGAGTGCCATCCCATACATCAAGAGGTCAAGGGTTCGATGCCCAGTCAGGGCACACTAGGTTTTGGGTTCGATCCCAGTGGGGGCATGTACGGGAGGCAACAATCAATGTTTCTCTCTCATGCTGATGTTTCTTTCTCTCTCTTTCTCTCTCTCTCTCTCTCTCTCTCAAATCAATAAAAACATATCCTTGGGTGAGGATTAAAATTTTTTTTTTAAAGATTAAGTTAGATGATGTAATTGTTTGCACAAATTAAGCTCTTAATAAATGGTAACTATTATTAATACTACATCTAGCACCTTGCTAAGTACTGGTATCATGTAGAAGAAATACAAGGTAATTAGAGGTTGCTTAGGTTTGGTGGGATGTGGGGCTGAGGGTGATAGCTAAAGGGTATGGGGTTTCTTTCTTTTTTAAAAAACTGACTTTATTTTTTAGATCAGCTTTAGGTCATAGCAAAACTGAGTAGGAAATACAGAGTTCCCACATACCCCCATACCACACACATGCATAGCCTCCCCCATTATCAACATGTGCACCATAGCAGTACGTGTGATACAACCAATGAACCTACAGCGACACATCATTACCACCCAAAGTCCATCGTTTACATGAGAGTTCACTCTTGTGTTGTAGAGTCTATAGGTTTTGGCAAATGTATAATGGCATGTATCCATCATTACTGCCCTAAAAATCCTCTGTGCTCCACCTATTTAGTTTCATTTTGAGGTGAGGTAAATGTTTTAAAATTGACTGTGGTAATGGTAGTTCATATCTGTGAATATGCTAAAAGCCATTGAATTGTACACTTTAAATGGGTGAGTTGTATGGTATGTGAATTATATCTCAATAAAGCTGCCCCTTCCCAAAAGAAACGCTAAACAAGAAACTATAGTCTTACTGGGAAGATTAAAAACAAATCTGAAGGTGTAAGGGATTAAGCACAAATTGCCAGTTATAAAAATAGTCATGGGGATGTACAGTACAGTATAGGGAAAGTAACCAATAATACAGTAATTGTAATCATGTATGATGTTAGATGGCTATTAGAGTTATGAGGGCAATCACTTTGTAAGATATAATATGCCTAATCACTATGTTGTACTCCTGAAACTAATACAATATTGTACACTGTAATTGAAAAATAAAATTTAAGAAATAATCACAAATAAAATTTGATTAGAGTCAGAGTCCCTAGTAAAAGCTTTAGTGGTTATGAGGGTGTTAATAATGCAAATTCTTGGCCCATACTAAATCAGAAACCCTGAGCAGTATATATTTAACAAGCCCTTCTGGAGGTTCTACTTGTTAAAATTTGAGAACCACAGCTACAGAAGCAGTGCCTCTCAAGATTTACTGTGCACACGAACCATTTAGTGATCATATTAAAAAGCAGATTTTGATTCAGTAGGTCAGTAAGAGTATGAGATTTTACATTTCTAACAAGCTCTCAGGTGATGCTGATGCTGCTGGTCTATGAACCACACATGGCTATAAGAGAACAGAGTAGTGGAAACCACATTGCTATGGGTCAATTAAATTGAGAGCATAGCAAAAAAGGTTTAAAATTCAGTGTCCCTTCAAATATTATAAGTACAAAATTAGGTGAGACTTGTGGTACACCCAATCTAGTGTTAGATCATCTGATAAAGATCCTATGGTGGGAGGGCAGGATACCTTCCTTTACATCTTCCAAGTTAGAGGCATGCTCCAAAACATCTAAATTATCCCTTTTAATTAACTGTGGTCCAGTCTTCAAAAACTTTACTCAACTTTTAAAATATATGTTCGTATTTTCAATCAGTAATGACAAAATTCTTAGTAAAAAGCTCAGTATGAAGAGCTTAAAGAAATTTAGAGGTAACTAATGGGTCCCTCCATTTATAGTTCAAACAGATGCAAAATGATCAAAATAAAGTGGTCTCAGGGCCAGGATTAGAACTGAGCTCTCTGGGACCCAGAGAAGCAGTCTTTCAACTCCACTATCACTTTCTTCATGCAACCAGTTCCTTCATGCAACCAGATCTCTAAGAAGCTCTTAGTGCCCACCACCACCCTCCAGTTTTAATACTGCTGGCACGTATCTCTGTATTAGCTGGCGCGGGTCTCCTACCACCATTCAAATTCTTCTAATACCCAATTGGTTCCTTCTACATCCTAAATATCTCAAACTCTAAGCCCTTTCCTTGTTCTCGTACAAATAACTCCCAATTCTAGGACTCCAGAGTTCCATGGAATTCATTTCCCTGTGACAAATGCTCCTTACTGCTTACCCCAATTCTTCCCTCTTCATGCCAATTCCTATAAGCACTGGTCACGGAATCAAGTGTTCTCCAGAGCCATCAAATCATCAATCTCACACCAGTGCCTTTATTTTCTGCATTTTACTTGACCCTCACATGCAAGGGAAGTTAACTAGCCCATAGTATAAAGCAGTACTTCCTTTTTCTTGACTCAAATTTACCTCACATAAAACTTCATGGGACATGGACACAGATGACAGTGCGGTGAAGGCCTGTGATGGGGCAGGGGGTTGGGTGGAGGGGGGCAAAGATGGAAGGGAAATAGGGACATCCATAATACTGTCAACAATTTAAAAAAACAACTTCATGGGGTACCTGTTGTTCACGAACAATTCCTAATTTACTTTATTCAGATCACTTGACTTCAATCATATTCCATCATCTTCTTTTCAAATCAAAGAGTATTGATGATTAAGTCTATCTTAATGTTACGGCTGCCTATTCCTTTGACCATTTTTCTCCTAAACAGCTTTTGGTATGACAAGTGTCAAATGATTACCAAAAATTTAAAAAAGAACTGTAGTGGTCTCTACCAGACTCACATCCTTGCAGGTATACTATCACCAGTCAGACCTTAAAGAGGGACATGCATCAGGACTTTAATTTTGTAAGTGGACTTACACTGAGTCAGTCTTGCTCTGACCTTCGAATCCCTGTCTCTTGGGGCTGTGTTCATGCTTTACACTCCATGCTTTACACGGGCATTTGAAATCCTGGCCTCTGTTCCAACAGCCTCTTGATGCTGACTCACCAGCCCAATATTAACTTACTGGGAACAGGCCTGTTCTACTCCTGTGCAAGCTAACAGCACAGTTCGAGAATTCTTCTTTGACCCTGGCTAACAGGTTTGGTTTGTCTTCTACCCT